CTTAACTGTGCAGTGCCTGTAGTTGCGTTTGTTCCATCACTGCAACATGGAAGGTTTGCAACAGAGACTGAAGAGAAAACTGAAATTCTGCCCCAGGATAATGCCACCAAGCAGTGTTTTCTAAAGTACGGCAATACTGCACCACAAGGGCCCCGCTTGTGTTTCTATGATTACCATCTTTCATTTCCTCTTAGGCTTGTGGGGAATGTCTGTTTATTTAAGACCTTTCAGGTTTTATATTTCACCATATGTCCAGGTAATTGCTCCATTATCTCTTAGTCTCCTGTGAGCCCAACGTCTGAAGCAGAATTTACAGAATTGGGGGCAGAGTCTCCTGCCCCCACGCCTGGCTGTTCTTACCAGGGCCCCTTGGAGGGGGGTGGGTTGAATTTCCCTCCCCGCCCTGAGCAGAGCCCCAGCAGCCGAAGACCTCTGGAACCAGCCACAGCCATGCTTAAGACCACTTTCCACGTGTTCAGATGAGCCTCACACATGAAGGAACCAGCAAAGGAACCCAGGCATGCGGGACATGGGGTTGAGATCTCCAAGCCTTCTCTGATCAGGACGGAGACTTTTCCATCCAGATCCCCCATCTTCCAGTAGGAAGGCATTACATCCACCAACTGCCCCTGGCACCTTGTTATCCCATCAACAGCCAAGACCCAGAGACTATAAAACCCAGCTCCTGAAACACACAGCCTCATTTGTGGCCACAGGACATCTTATTATCTAGTTCTTACTCTTGGAGAACCTGGCAGGCTACCAAGAGTATGCTGCCCACACGGCAGAGTCTGGCAAACTCTCTGTGGTGTATTCAATATGCCAAAACCCAGTAACAATGATGATTCTCATTCCTCTGACCCTGAAAGAGCCTCAAATGTGGTACTTTCTAAAATCTCAGGGCTAGCGAGAACAGATGACTGGTTAAAGAAACTTTGGTACATTTACACAATGGAGTACTATGGAGCAGTTAGAAAAGATGAAGTCATGAAATTTACATACAAGTGGTACTACATGGAAAGTATCATGTTAATTGAAATGAGTCAGAAAGAGAGGCATAGACATAGAAAGATTTCATTCATCTGGGGAACATAAAGTAACAAAATAGGAGACTAACACCCAAGAATGGCAGAAATTAGTACCAGGAATTTTGCTCCATGGCTTGGAGGCCAGCCACAAATGCTAGGGGAAAAGGCAGCTCAGATAGAGAAGGGAGCACCAAATAAAGGGTGTTGGGAGGATCCTCCCAGGATGGGAGATGCATGCTGAAAGTAGACTATAAACCAAACATGATTGCGACTCAATGCCTCTTTTGCAAACCACAACACCCAAAAGGAGAGAGAAAACAGAGGAAAATTCCCTGTCACAGAGGCAGGGTGGGATGGAGGGGATGGGGGTGGGAGGGATACTGGGATCCGTGGTGGTGGGAAATGGGCACTGGTGGAGGGATGGGTATTTGATCATTGTATAATTGAAACCTAAGCACAAAATTTTTAAGTCTACAACTGTACCTCATGGTGTCTCACTAATAAAAATTTAAAAAAACACACACCTTTAAAAAAATAAAATCTCAGGGCTAGGACAAAGGAGACGTTACTGGCACCTGCTCGAGGAAATCGATGAACAACAGGATAATAGTGATACAGTGGGGGAAATTTTAAACTTGTCCAGTCTCAGAAAGAGCCCAGGAATTTGGAGGGACATTTCAAATATGGAATGGATACAGCTAAAATGGGGTCACTAGCAGCACCTGACAAGGGGAAACTGAGGCTTCCTCTATCAGTATATCACCGTAAGAACATTTCTGACAGATCATTTATTGGAAATGAATGTCCACTGATGGCATCTTGCATTGGGTGGCTGTGAAAGACTGGCGCACATTCACAAAGGTAGTCAGCATGTCACAAAACCAGCCTACTCTCACAAAATCGTCACATTCATTTCTGAAACCGCCAGGATGGATTTCTCACATTACTGGGCACAAGATATACTAAGGATAAATTCCACCCCTCCCAACTCCCTTTATGCTACTCCAGCCAGCGCCAAACTCTTACCAACATAAACAACACAATTGACAGTTGTAGGTAAGATACTTCTCTTCATTTCTTCAAAAATTCAAAGAAAACAAAGCCACAAATCATGAAAGCAAGTGCAAGCATTGGCACACTCATTGCTTTCTTATAATCGAATCACCCAAGACTTCAAAACGTTGCTTTCTTTGATGCTTTGAAACTCCCAAGATATCAGTTGTAAAAAATACCTGTGAACACAGATGGCATGAACTAACCATACAATTATCTTGGGGGTTCATATGAAAGCCCAAGCTAATATTCCCTAAAGCATTACTCAGATTCAATGCAGTGCCTGTAAGGATACTCATGACATTTTTCAAAGAAACAGATCAAAGACTCTGGAAGTTAATATGGAAAAACAAACCCCCACAAATAGCTAAAGCAATCCTTGGGAAAAGGAAGATGGGAGGCATCACCTTCCCTAACCTCAAACTGTACTACAATGTGATAGTAATTTAAACAGCATGGTATTGGAATAAAGCCAGACCTGCAGATCAATGGAACAGAGTCAAATATTCTAACACCAATCCTCACCTAATCTATGACAAAGGAGCAAGAAAAATAAACTAGAGAAAGAAAAGCCCCTTCAACAAGTGGTCCTCGGAAAATTGGGCAGCTACATGAAAAAAAAATGAACTCAGACCTCTTTCTAATGCCAGGAACAAAATTCAGTTCAAAATGGATTACGGATCTCAATATCAGACCTGAATCCATAAGGGACATGGAGAAAAATATGGGATGAACCCTCCATGGCACTGAAGCTAAAGGCAACTTCAAAGATGAAACACCACTGACCAAGCAAGTGGAAGAAAAGATAAACAAATGGGACCACATTAAACTAGAAGCTCCTACACCTCAAAAGAAGCAGTGACAAAGATACAAGGACAGCCTACAAATGGGAAAATTATTACCCAATACCCATCTAATAAGGTGTTAATATTCAAGATATATAAGGTACTCATAAAACTTTACAAGAAAAAAATTCAACTCCATCAAAAAATGGGGAGAATAAATGAATAGAAACTTCTACAAAGAATAAATACAAATGGCCAAAAGACACATGAAAAAATGCTCTACATTGTTAATCATCAGGGATATGCAAGTCAAAATAACAATAAGATATCTCACACTACTGAGACTCGAGCACATCGAAAAAGAACAAGAGCAACCAGTCTGGCATAGATGTGTGGAGAAAGGGATTCTCCTTCATTGGTGGTGGGAATGCTGACTGGTTCTGCTTTTTGGGAGACCAATAAGAGCATTCCTCAAAAAGCTAGGAATTGAGCTTCCATATGGCCCAGCAATATCACTTCTGGGAATATACCCTGGGGGCCCAAAAACACACAGCAGAAATGTCGTCTGCATTTATATGTTTATTGCAGCACTGTTCACAATAACCAGAATCTGGAAACAAACAAAGTGCCCAAGAACAGACAACTGGTTAAAGAAACTATGGTACATCTACACAATGGAATACTATGCAGCTATCTAGAAAAATAAAGTCATGAAATTCACTTACAAATGGATGGACATAGAGAGTATCATGCTGAGTAAAATGAGTTCAGAAAGAGAGGGACATACATAGAATGATTTCACTCATTTGTGGGATGTAAATAAACATAATATGAGACTAATCTGAGGACAGTAGTAAGTAGAATCAGGAGGATTGGTCCATGGTTGGAAGCCTGCTTCAAATGTTTGGGAAAAGGCAGTTGGGATAGAGAACGGACCACTATTGACAAAGGCAGATGAAAATGATCACTCTGGACAAAAACTGTGCTGAAAGTAGATAAAGAAACAAACATGATAACCTCTCAGCATCTGTATTGCAAATCATAATGCCCAAAATATTGAGGGGGAGGAGTGTTTGCCATAGGGGCAGGCTGGGGGTGATGGAGTTGGAGGGAGGGAAACTGGGTCATTGCTGGTGGAAAATGTACACTGGTGAAGGGATGGGTGTTGGAACATTGTATTGTAACTGTATCTCACCATGACTCAATAAAAAATAAACTAAAAAGAATAAAAAAAAAGGCCATGCAATTCTGTATCTCACCATGACTCAATAAAAAATAAACTAAAAAGAATAAAAAAAATAAAGGCCATGCAATTCTGGTGTCGGAAACTTCTTGAATAATAGATCCATGAGAGATTACCTGAGATAGAACTTTTCTTTTTATTACCTCATCATATTGTATCTTGGTCTCAATGATTTTAAATGAATTTGAATTCTAATTTTAAAATCTAAATTTAGTATCTGAGTGCTGAATTTGGACATAGTATTTTCCAAAATATTTGCATCTCAACCAAGCTTATTTTTTTAAAGTTTTTTTTCCCTTCTGCCTCCGTGTCCTTCGACTCCTCATTTTCCTATCATCTTTAAAGATTTGTATTTTTAATAACAGGCGGCAGCAGGCCAGCTCATACCAGCTTGGTTTCTTTACTTTATGAGAGTCAACTGCTACCTGGGACACTAGCAGTGGTGAAAAATGATTAACTTTCAGAGAAGGGCTAACTCTCCAAATCAACAAGCAACACCTAATTTTCTCTGAGCAGTCCCAGAACATTTGCAAAACTATGTCCTAGACCAGTTAATTATTAAAAGTCAGCCATTGTAACCCAAGGCTTTTGTTACACCAGTGAAGAAATGATCCTGCTAACTTACGTGAATAAGAAAAATGATTGATTTTTATTTCTCAGCAACTAATAAGCAACACAAATGGCTGGCCATATTCTGAGTCCCTGCAGCATTCTTGCAGAAGACCTTGGGCTGTAGAAATCCATCACATGTGCCTGCACCTGGGGCATTTCTCCTTAACAATCTGAATTCAAAAGCTTCATCTGATCCCTCCCCACTTAACCAGATGTTGACCTGAGTAGGAAGCTGTGCATTTGATGGCTCAGAGTGGGCTGTGGGCCCTCGATGCTCACCTGATTCTGTGGGCACACATACTGTATCCTCAGCGTGTCCATGGCTCTGATCATAGCCTGCACGGCTGTGAAGATGTTTTGGTAAACCAGCTTGGTGAAGCCCTTTCTGTCTTCATCACTGTAACCTGAGCCATGGATAATTCTCATCTGCTTGATAAAGGTGCTTTTGCCACTCTCACCAGTTCCTAGAAGACAAAACAAAGGAAAACCAGTGAGCAGAAAGGTATACCCGTGAAATAAGCCCTCTGGGCAGTGTTGCTTCACAGTCTGATTATAGATCAGTGGCGTGAACTTGGAAGGATATAATTGAATGCTGGATGTGATTTTAAACTGTGGGGTGAAACTGTCTGAAATATATGTAGCACAGGATTCTGAAAAGTCTGAGTACCAGAAAATCTCAATCTCTCTATACATCACGAACACTCTCAAAAGAGAAAAAGAAAATGAACTCGCCATCTCCTTCCATAAACACCATTGATCCTGACACAATGAAACACACACACAGGTCCCCAGCTAAGCCAATTGACACTTTTCAGTACATCTCTCGTTCTCGGTACACTACACAGGGTTATGGAGGGAAAGTTTTTTTTTTTAATTAATTTTTAAAAAATTTTTCTTAGTGAGACACCATGAGGTACAGTTGTAGATTTACAAATTTTGTGCTTGGGTTTCAATTATACAATGAAAGTTTAGTTAGTGAAATATCAAGCCATTTCAATTGCTATTGAATGTGCATAGCTGACTACAAATAATACAAAAATAGGTTTTATATTAATGAATGATAGAGATACTGCTTGAAAAGTCAATGATGGTTGTATGGAATTTCATATTTTCTGTTGAGGCTTACCCTGTGAGCATCCATGCTGATGTTAGAATATGATACACTCAGGGCTCATTTCCAAATCTAAGTGGGGCTTTAAGGATTTCATTAAGAATTCCACTTGGAGTATTCTCAGGAAGGTAGAAATTCCTCAAGCCAAGTTAATTAAAAAAAAACTTCCAAAACTAAAATGGCTCAAAAATGTTCACCTTCAATGCATGGACTGCAGAGTTTACAACTTATATTTCAATAAAGCTGTTGCAAAATAAAAAAAAAAGCTTTCCATATTCTTAAATATGTAGAAACCAGAGGCACACTTGCCTCACCTGACACTTAGCTATAGAGATGTGTTTCTCATGGTGAAAGGACAGAACAGACAGTAACTTGTGCTCCTGATAAGGACCTGTCAGGAGTGTGCTCTGGGGAATGTGGTCCTCATTTTGCTCTCATCAGGGCCCTACAAGCTTTGGGCTAGCCTGATCTTAACAACCCTTCCCAGTTCCAACGTGGATATGGAGACAACTCATTTGATAAGATTATTTTTCTTTTCATTTTATTTTGGATTTTTGTGTCACACCCGGTGATGCACAGGGGTTATTCCTGGCTTTGCACTCAGGAATTACTTCAAGCAGTGCTCAGGGGACCATATGGGATGCTGGGAATCGAACCTGGGTCAGCCGCATGCAAGTCAAATGCCCTATCCACTGTACTATTGCTCCAGCCCCAAGATAATTTTTCTTGTAAGGAAAAAAGAAAGTTTCTTTGGATAGATCTTTTCAAAACATATCTCTCTTCTACCTGTCTCCCCTCTTCATTCTGAAGTCATCAGTAGATTCCCTCACTCATAAGAAATAAAGATAAAGAAGGCTGTATGCTTTGACTCATCCAATTCTATCCTCCCTTCTCACCACACACTTTCCTGCCCTCCAGATTCTCTTTCCAATGCCTATTCCCTGCAGTCTCTGAGCACTCACTGCAAGTTCCGTAAGAAGTCTCCATCTTCGTCATCTTTGTTCCCAGCCTGACTTCCAAGGAGTTCAAATTCCTCTATTCTGCAACTAAGTAGTTGTAGTACCATGAACTTCTCTTTGTAGCACTTGTTCCAGCTGCGCTTGTGCCCATTGATATCATGATCCACTTCATGTCTTGCTCCGACCACACTGGATGTTTCATCAGGGGGAACAGGGGCTGGATTATTGTGATTTAAATTTAACATAGGCTTAGTCTTTGTTCCCCTTTCTGGCAAAGGGTTTTTAAAACTCTTTGAAGGTCGTAAGTCTTGAGCAACAAAAGTGTCTTCCGTTGGGGTCAGAGAAATAGTACAGTGGGTAAAGCACTTGCCTTGCCTAAGGTTCTATCCCCAGAACACCATATGATTCCCTGATCCCTGAGAACAGAGCCAGGAGTAACGGTCACGGTCCTCCCGTTGTTCATTGATTTGCTCGAGCGGGCCCAGTAACGTCTCCATCATGAGACTTGTTACTGTGTTTGGCATATCGAATACGTCACGGGTAGCTTGCCAGGCTCTGCCATGCGGGCAAGATACTCTCGGTAGCTTGCCGGGCTCTCCAAGAGGGGTGGAGGAATCGAACTCGGGTCGGCCATGTTGGCGACTTGTAAGGTAAATGCCCTACCGCTGTGCTATCGCTCTAGCCCAGAGCCAGGAGTAAGTCCTGAGAACTGCCAGGTATAGACTCAAAACAAACAATAAACCCAAAGTGTCTCTTATTAAGTCAACAAGGTCACTTTTGGAAAGGACTTAGAGATGGAAGTTGGTTGCTAGAGGGACCAATCATGTGAGCTTTCTGTTGTAAGAAAGATAAATACTTTAGAGGAGAGGGAGGAGTAAAGGGGTTGGAATTTCAGTTTAACCCCGTTTCCCCTTTTGGCTGTATCCATCTTATCTCCTTCCTCCTACCTCTCAGGTAATCTTATTTCTATTACACTGTACACTGGGTGGTTGCGTACATCATCTTTCTAGTCTTAGAACACACAGGTGGAATCATCCAAAGCTTGTCTTTTTCCTTCTAATTTATTTTATCTTACACAATTCCCTTGAGTTCCTTCCATTCTGTTGTGAATGGTAAAAAGTAAAGTAAAGTAAAGGCCCTCCCGTTGATCATCGATTTGCTCGAGTGGGCCCAGTAACGTCTCCATTGGAGACTTTGTTGTTACTGTGTTTGGCATACCAAATACGTCATGGGGAGCTTGCCAGGCTCTGCTGTGCGGGCGAGATACTCTCGATAGCTTGCCGGGCTCTCCGAGAGGGGCAGAGGAATCGAACTCGGGTCGGCCATGTTGGCTGCGTGCAAGGCAAACGCCCTACCGCTGTGCTATGGTAAAATCTCATCTACTGTTAATGGTTGGTTGATAACATTCCACTATACACATAGACACATTTTTATCTAATTATCTTCCACAAACACGACTGCAGTTGTTTCCATGTTTTTCTATTATAAACAATGTTGTGAAGAAAAATGAAATGGACTGAATTTGATGACAATGTTTTCATAGTATCAGCTAGATGCCACTGACAGCGGGACTGCTGGATCATATGGGAGATCTTCAGCTTCTTGGGGAAGTGCCATAGGGTTTTCTACAATGATTGTGTCAATTTACATTCCCACCAGCTGAGCACAAAAATTCCTTTCTCTCAACACTATCTCCAAAATGGTTATTGCTGCTTTAAATGTAAGCCACTCTCATAGATATTAAGTGGTGTTTCATAGTGGCCTTGATTTGTATTTCCCTGAAGATAAGTCATGAATGTTTGTTTTCATCAGGATAGGTCTACCTGTCCTGTCCTCCTCAGAGAATAGAGAAGAGTCTCTACTGTCAAAACTTCATAAAAGCTTCTGGACACATCAGGTCTCTATGCTCATAGAATTTTTTGGTCCCTGCATGTCTTCCCACCACGTTGTATTCTGTTCCACCCCAGCAGGTCTGAACTCTGATTTCGTGCTAAATCCCTAAAACAAAGAGTAGCACTATGCATGCCACAGATCACAAGACTGATGCAAATAGAAATACTATGTATCTGTCTCATGGCAAGTTGTGATGATAGCCCTGAAGTCAGAAAAGTCACTCCAGATTGAGCCCAGTTTCATGCCAAGGTTGAGAACCGTTCGGTTTGTAAAGGCCATTCAAAGTCACCCTCCCACCAGCTCCAAATACTCTCTTCAACAAGTCATTGAGCTTTGCTCTTAGACATGGACAATGGAAAAAGAGAAAAAGGTTAAAACCAATTTTAAACTCATATGAAAAAGTAGGTATAGTTGTATCTGACCGACACCAATCATTTAAGTGTCCTTCTGCTTTCTGTGGCCGTTACTTGAAGAGTAAAACCAAAACATAGAGGAGAAAAAGCAGATGACAGGCAGAGAAGTGAGTCTTGGTGTGGAAGGTCTCCCCACTTTCATGTCAGCCTCAACAGAACCCCATGAGTATCATTGTTTCCCAGGAGAGAGTGAAAGCCAGAAAGATTAAATTGTTCGTGTACGCTTTGTTCAAGGCCATTCAGTTTGGGTCTTAGGTGAATCCAGATCTATGTTGGCTAGATGCCCAGCAGTATCCTAAACAAGTGATTAAATCATACCCCACTGTCTGCTTACAAACAGCCCATCTGGTATTGAGACCGCAGTACTTGGGACTCAGTTTTCTGAAGTCTAGAGGAGATAGTTCCAACAGCAGAAGGAGGGGGGAGGGTAGGGGAGATGAGAGCAATGGCAGATGAAGGCTTCATTTTTTTTCTCCCATAATGGCACCATAATGGCACTTGTAGGCAGGGGGTTCATCAGCTCAAGCTAAGGGTCTGAATTGAGTTTCTCACCTGTTCTGGGCAGTACTCGACACTGAGTCTAGCATTGAGTACACATTTATTAAGTGGGGAAAAATGGAAAGAATACAATTTTGCAGAGGAAAATGGTTATTGATTTGGACACTCTTTGCATCTCAGCAAGTGATTCAGTCAGCTGAGCCCCGGCAGGCTGGAGCTGGTGGGAGCTGATGGAAGGGGGGCCGGAGAGGGCAGTCAGGAAAGACTGTTGAGCATGGGGACCCGAGAATGAGCAGGACAAAGAACAGAAGGGCAGTTGCATCTCAGATTCTGCTCCAAACAAAAATGAAGGAAAGGGCTCTCTCCTGTTTAAGTTTTGCTTCACTGTTCTGTATTTGGAAAAATGAACAACCCCGCCATGTCCATAAGTACCTTGAAACTTGCATTTTTATGCAGGGTCTGCCTGTTGCCACCCGACTGCATCAGGAAGAAATTCCCATTCTGGCAACATACCCCAATGGCCTGACTCCTTCTCTGCACCTGTGCCCTGGATCCCTTGCACCCTCCAGTACCCTGAATGTGACTTATTC